CTTCATGCAGTGACTGACATGAGGGCCTCCACCCAGGGGCCTCCTGCTGCTGAGCTTCTGCTCCTTCCTCTGGGACTTTGTGTCGCAGTTATTTTTGACTAATCCTTTTTGTCATTTGAGAGGCGCATGCCGGAGATGGTCAGGAAGATGAGACGGGAACCTTTTCAGAATGACCCTGAACCAACACAAATCATTTAGAGGCAAATGAAAAGAAGCTGCTGGGGGAAGAAAAGAGTGACTCATCACCAAACCTCATCCCACAATAAGACAACCAGCAGTGATGAGACAGGAGGCAGAAAGTGGACACGTTCAGAGGCTTTTATCTGAGCGTCACAACTTTAAAATAGTTTGTCCGTAGATATACAAGTAAATAGATCCAAAGAATCTGCACCGTTAAATGCATTCTAGGAATAATGGAACAATTAAGAAGGGTCAATTTAAATTCTAAAAAGCATAATTTGTGCGTGTGACGGAACTGAGGCGCCTCGGCTCCTCTTACGACTCGCTGTTCACACGAAGCCGTCGGGAGTCTTTGAGGGAAGAGTTTTGTTCTTTTTCTGGAGATCTAGTCGGGTCCAAGCGGTTTCTCACCAGTCGGAGGAAGCGATCAAAAGGTCGTTGCCATGGAAACGAGTGTGCTGTAAGAGCTGATCTGAGCTGTGAGTAAAACAAGGGGGGACCTGAATGCCTCTCGCCGCTCAGACGTCCTGGTGAAGGTTGATTTGAGCTGAAAACAACCTGCACTGCAACTTCCACTGATCAAATACAATCACAGTCATATGAAGAATACATTTTACATTTATCTGGACCATGAACTCACCGAGAGGACTGTCCATCGTTTACCCGTCTCCTCTTCTCAAAGCCGGCTGAAGAGGAACGAGGGTTTCTCATCGAACATCCAAGAAAACATGAAGTGAGGCGTCTGTTGCCGCCGGCGGCCTCTGTTCCCACTGAAGGAACGAGACAGCAGAGCGAGCGCCACGACCGGACCGGTTCCACCGGTTCCACCGGTTCCACCGCTGCCTCGTCATAGATCACGTGGAATCAGAAGCATCTGCAGACCCTGACATGCTTTCATAACCTTTGTGCTCTTTGTGTTGAAGTCCAGGGAGAAGAAGCAATAGTTTATTAGCATCAGTATTTATGAGCAGCAATGAGCCAAAAACAAGTGCGAGTTAAGCTCACGTCTCTTAAAGAGTCATGTTTGTTATATGAGGGAATAACTGGGCTTCTCTAGTGATTTCTGTTATCGGATCAGATTTCATCACATACGTGTTACAATACAAATTATGAATAATATATTTAGTCACAAACACATGCACGTTGCATGTGAGATTCCTGCAGAGCGCCGTGCCTTCACGGACAGATATAGAGATACTAATACACCACTACAAGTAAAGGTCCTGCCTTGAAAACTTTATTCAAAGCCGCTATGAGGAGCTTTCATGTCGTGTTGCTTGTGTCTGTTGAAGTGTCCCCGACCACCAGAGTCCCTTTAGAAAACCTCTCCTTCCACTGCAGGGCCTCACAGTCGGTCCCCCCGGTCCTGGTCCTGGTCCTGGTTCACCTCGCTCACCGCCTCACTTCCCTCCAGCGGGTCCAGCACCACGTCCCGCTTCAGGAGCTCTGCAGGAGGATCAACCCAAGTACTACTAATCACAGAGAAGTTCAAGTGTCATAATGACCATCAATGGTGAATCTGTTATTATTAAGTATTGCAGATGTGATTAGATGCGCAGTTGAAGGAGCAGCTTCAGAGGATTTGGGGTTGAACGCGTCCAGCGACAGTATGAAGCTGACTGCTGTGATGGGTTCAACGCGGGTATTATTCTTTATTTGAATCGGCTGGTTTAACCAGGCAGGAGCAGGTGATGGAACAGGTCACCTGGCAGAGCCCAAACCCGCAAACTGTCTGACCTCCAAAGCACGAAAGGCTTTTCCCGCCCGGGTCCGACTGAACGGAGCAAGTTACTCGCGACCTTTATCGCACGCATCAGAAACCCTCAAACAGGCGCCATCGAAGGCCTATTTTTCTTTTCAAAGCGGCTGCGAAAAGGTCTCACGGGGTAAAAGCTGCAGTGTCTCTAACTGGTTGAACCCCAGTTGTCATTGCAGCTAATCAAAAACTCACTCGTTTTGTTACCGATCCCTCCCCTAACAATAGAGCATTTGCATATCTATGACGAAAATGTATTACACTTTCAATGGCTCATTGTTTATAGACATGTATGAGATGATGGGAAATAACCCTGTGCTGCATCGACTTAATTGGATTCCTTATCTCGGCATTGTGCGCGTGATGAAATCGAATAAGAGTGCGAATGTTGAAGTTATGAACCACGCAGGGTTCTAACTTGAAACTCTCTTGGACAAACTTTGTTTCTTGCGGTCAAACAATCTGATTTGTATCTACACGTTAGACGCTAACCTGCCTTTTATTGGAGTGTCTTTGTCCTGGAGACGGGGGCCTGAGCGGGGACTCGATGGCTTTGTGTTGTAGAGAGGACCGGGGAGTCCTGTGGGGTACCAGTGTATCGTCATGGCGACCCGTCCAATACTTTTCTTGCCATATTGTTTCCATCGGTGAACCAGATGTGATCGCAAGCGGCGAGTTACAAAAAGTTAGAGAGCGGAGAGAGCTGCCGTAGACGGGCGGAACGCAGCATGGCCGTGTCAGATTCTCCCTCGCTGCCTGCCATTCAAATCTCTTGCTCAATACGGTTACCGTGGCAACTGGCCACTTGTTGTGGCGAGCGGGCGACGGTACGAGATGAGACTGGCTTTTGGTTTATTCTGTAGCTCCATCACGCAGATCTCCTTAGAGCCGTAATGCCCCACTTCCCCTTTTCTCAACCCCCAAGAAAGGACACTAAGAAAGAGACCGAGGACGAACAACGAACACAACCCAAACCCCAGGTTAGACCGGCGACTCTACGAGGCTCTATGAAATGGATGTCTGAGGATTGATCGTGACACAGCACTTAATAAAAGTCACATTTGACAGTTTTGATTCTCTAATCCATTGATTAGGTATTTGAGAAGTATGAAAAAGATGTCAAGTGAAGTCAAAATGCAGTTTGAATGAAAGAACCCTCTATTTAAACGTACATAGGTGGTACTAATTTGATTTACCTTGTTTCTGTTCATCAATATAAGCAGTTTGAACATGTGTTAATAGCTTTAATGACAGAAGAGAACAAATGGTAGTAACGGTTTGATTAGTGTTAAATCCAAGAACATGAGCTCTGAGCTGTGATGCAACAAACATCACAGGCCGGGTTGGACTCGCCGGGCTGGTCTCCGTCCACACTTCACCGCTCCCACAGCAACATCTGGAGGTCATCGACCCGCTCAGCGGTCACGGGCATGTTCTACTAGTAGTGAGCGAGGAGTCAGTGGCCGAATAAATGCAGGAGCTTGTGAGTTTACTGCACCAGAATGAGGCGAGTTGTTTCTTTTCACTGATAATTGAATGTTTCTCTCGCTGGTCTCCTACACACAGTTGGTTCAAAGGACGTGCATGGTGCTAAATTGACGGCAATGATTTACACTTATGTAAAGAATACTTTATTACAAAGAAAACAGTGGTATGAAAAAAAGCACATGAAGGGATTGTAGATGCTTCAGCAAAAAGAGATGAAACTCAGCTCACTAAGAGGACGCCGGTATGAAACACAACCGGGCCAATTATCTCCAACGACACGTCACGGCGCTGCAGAGAAAACACGGAAACCAAAGCCTGGACCCCAAAACACCACAATCAGAGAATAAACTGAAACAGAGACATCTTTGGCTCATTCGTCACATTGACACACTGTCAGGCAGCTCCAGCTTGTTCAGAACGCTGCTGCTAGAGTTCTAACAAAGACCAGAAGATGTGAGCACATTACACCAATTCTTAAATCCTTACATCGGCTCCCAGTATGTCAGAGAATTCATTTCAAAATCCTACTGCTCACATATAAATCACTACATGGTTTAGGGCCAAAGTATATCACTGATATGCTTCCACTACATAAGCCTTCAAGATCACTAAGATCTTCTGATACCTGTTAGTGATTCCCAGAGTAAATACAAATCATGGGAAAGCATCATTTAGTTACTACGCAACAAACAGCTGGAATAAACTTCCTGAAGATTTAAGACTTTAAGCCCCAACTCTGACCACGTTTAAAACAAGACTGAAAACTTGTATGTTCAGCTTCGCTGTCTGCTAAATTTGACCTACATTGCACTTTTAACCTCTGCTTTTAATTAAACAAAATTATAAATTAAAATCTTATTTAAATTATTTGCTGTTTTTAATGCATTTTATTTCACTTTATTGTATGAAATGTTATAATGTGAAGCACTTTGAGTCTGCCTTGTGTATGAAAAGCGCTATACAAATAAACCTGCCTTGCCTTAAAACCCACCGCGTTTGTACTTTGAGTCACCAGAAACGCCACCAACACGGTGACGTGACCGCGGAGCGTTACGGGTGGGTCTCACGTGTCCACGTGTCCCTCCCTCAGCTACGGGTCCCTCGGCACGGACGACACGGTGCACCCGCCACATGCCCCAAACTGGCCCGGGTTCAAATCCCGGCATAGATCCCGGCCCGTGTTTACCGTCTGTGCTTTCCCAGCGGCGATACAGAATACTGCGAGAGGACAAAAACGTAAGAGTCCAGTTTGTGTGTCCAATCTGTCATCTAAAGCATCGAGTGTGAACTACAGTTATGATCTAACAATATTAGAAATGACATCAAATACCATGACAACTATCATTATTGTCCAGCATGTAAATCACAACCCTTAAACACACACGTTTAACGTTGGTTTGCAACACACCTTCTTATGTCACGTTATGAGCGTGGAGAAAGAATAACCTTTGACCTTTTGAATTTGAGACACTATTGCCTGATGATACATAGTCGGCATGATTTGAACAGTCGTGTTGTGCGTTCGTGGTGCTCGGCATTGACCGATGGAGGGATGAACACTCACCCCTGATTTGTATTGTATTAAATCACATTGTGGCGAAACAAAAGTTCCTCGTGTGGCAGGTCAGAGTTTATGATTAAATATGATTAACTAAAAAAAAAAAAAAAGCGTAAAGAAATGAAGTGCTTGGCGCGATGAACACATGAACCACGACTCGGCGTCAGTCGGTCCCTCACACACAACGCCGGAGCCGTTTATTACCACACAGAATGATCGACAGGGACCAAAAGCAGCGAGCATCATGGGACATTAATCCACACTTTACTCTGCGCCTCCTGTGGGTGAAGTACACATTTAAGGCTCAGTATCAAAACACGCACTCGTGTCACCATTACTGGGCAGTTTGAACTCGCCTGAAAACACAGATGACACGTGGCACATACGTGAAATATCCAGCGCATATACAGCAACTATATTGAAAAAAACACAGTTCAAAAAGGGACATAAAGAGTCCCAGTTCAGTGAACTGCCAGGCGGAATGAGTGAAGTCTCACTACCGGAGGTAAGGACGCTCTCGTGGGCGCGGCTACACTAAACGCCAAAATGAAACGCAACATGATTAGAAGATATCCATACTCGAACTATAATCGTAACCCGGATCGTTTAACAACTTCTTCAGCGGTCGAAAGTCTATTGCATGCAAACAAGAGTCAGACGGGGAGATAAGTGATGCCGAATAACATACGTGTGCCTGCCGTCATGTGCAAACGTTATCCGTTATATTGACTGTGGGAACCCGGAGGTCGTCGTGAGAAGAATCTATCCGTCTATTCACTTCATCTAATCGGTGACAGTGCAGCCGGACACGAGGTTTGTGTCCACATACGTCTAAACAAAGAGCTGTTATTTGTACAACAAATACAGACATGTATACAATAACGTATAATAATAATAATAACGTTGAATAATGTCCAACCCGAGGACAGCAGTCCACAGAGCAACATATTTAGTGTGAAGACATGTCTTAAAACATCCCAAAACTCTTCCTGTGAAGGAAAGGTATTTAAAAAAGGTGTTGTTGAAACTATCGGCGAGACACTCGGGCCGCTAGATCTGCGCCAATGAACACGTTAAATACACGAGAAAAGGGGACAAATTAAAGCCTCAGAGCTCCAACGAGAGCAGCCATAATCAGTCAAAGCCAGGCCTTGTATTAATAAATGACTCTTCCCTGATAGTTGCAGCAGACAGCATCTACCCCTCCAGAGGAAGGCACTGGGAGTGTTGGAACGTCCTTGGCTTTTTCATCGACTGGGTTTGACTGATTGCTGGATAACGGTCCGCTGGCGCGCCCCGCCGTTGGGGTAGCGGAGCCCGTTCCCTCCTCCTCCTCCTCTGCCGTAACGCCGCCATTCGCGCGCCGAAGGGAATCGGCATTGTGGAACATTGAAGGCGTCTCCGGGGCAGAAAACCCCATCGCATCCGGGCGGTGACGGCTTCAGAGTTTTATTGGGTGTTACCGTTTTTTAATCTCCGAATCGATTCCTCCCGTCGCACCGTCCCGGCGTGGCGGGTTAAAGGTAGAGGTATCCCACCCAGTACACGATGTTGAACAGCAGGAAGGAGGTGGGGAAGAAGACGCGCGAGTACGCGTCCAGATCCAACAGGTCCAGGTGGACCCGTCCTTTCCTCCAGCCTCCTCCTCTGCACTCCTCGAAGCAGCAGAAGAAGCTCCGGCAGTCCTTCCCGTCCAGACAATCGTACACGCACGCGTCCTCAAAGTCCTGCCAGTACAGCGAGTTGTTCAGGGCGATGACGGCGTGCGGCGGCCTCGCGTCCAGGGCCGAGTAGTTCTGAAAAGAAAAGGGCGGGTCTTAAAAAAAAAAACGATTTCTGGGTCTACGTCACTGCCGCGTCGACGAACCCGACCCGACACACACGCGCTCATATTAAAAAGACGATAGAACGCCAACTCACGGGTCGCTTGGGCTCCCTGCATCTGGGTCCGCGGGCGCCGCTTGAGTAGTAGTTCAACGCGGCGTACTCCATCAGAGCCGCGAAGACGAACAGGAAGCAGACGGTGACGAAGAGGTCCATGGCGGTGATGTAGGACACTCTGGGCAGGGACGTCCTGGCCACGCTGCTGAGGGTCGTCATGGTCAGGACGGTGGTTATGCCTGCAGAGGACACCAACGCGGGACCCCGTCACGCGGCGTTTGAAGGTCCTCTGGGCAGCGAGGAAAGCGGAAGCTCGGCTGCGTCCGTCCCTTTTCACAACCCGAGGACATTTAAAGAGCCGTGACGCGTATTACCGAGGTCAACAACTATCACCTTGAACAAAGATGTGTCCATTAACTAGTAACAGATACAAACAGTAAAAGTAACCTCATCTTCATCTTGACACCTAGTTGCAGTAACGTGTCGCCGTGGCGACCAGATGTTTTCTGTGGACACACGTTCTTCTCCTCTCTCCCGTCTCCTGCTCCAGGAGCATTACGGAGGAGACAAAACGCCTGTGACTGTTTCCCTGGCGTTGCCATGGCAACAAGCTGGCGCCGTCTATTTCGGGACCTCGCACTTTTCCTCGAACCTCCGCCTGCCACATCTACTACGCTCACCTGCCTCCTGCAGGCGCCGGGGCACAAATTCCGAAAAATACTGAAAAACAGAATGAACATACGAGCTTGAAGAAAATCGTTTGTAATCTCCTGATGAAAACTTAAAAGAGAGACTAAAAGTGAGCTCGAATCTGAGCCGCACCCGAGTCGGTCGGCCTGTAGCCTCTTTGCTAAACCTCCCTGCGTGTCTGCACTGGGATCCGTCCGCAGGCTTCATCCTTCCCACGAGTTGAACGCAAAACGATCAAGACGCTTCGCGGCGGGGGCGGCCGATACGTAGCGCACATTCATTTCCCGCCTTCATCTGATACAGCTTGAGTGACACAAGCGACGTGGGTGAGTGGCAGGTGAAATGTTTGACACTTCGGGTCACTCGTGAGAGGACGAACACGTGTTTTCCGCGGTGAGCTCAGAGAAAATCTCCCGTTCACACAAACGATTCATGAAAACGGAAGTTTGGGTGGTTACTTGTTTCGACCGAGGAGCCCAATTCGACTGGCGAGTCGCGGCTCAGAGGCGGGACGATTCCAGTCCGGCTGCAAAGCCGGTTTCAAGTATAAAAGATCCAAATGTTTCTTTGTCACGACTCCGCATCAGCTCACTCCACGAAAGAATATCGATCAAATGTTGACAGAAAAAGAAAAATGGATGGATGTAGTGAATTACCTTCACCAAAGCGTTCCACGGGACGGCACAACAACAAGTGGAGAGCATGCAGCAGAGAAAGAAGCAAAACAAAACCGTGACTCAAGATAACAAAGATGAATAGTGAAGCGGAGAGTATTCAAAACCCGACGCAGAGACGTGGCGTTTGCGTCGCCGACGTGAAGACGCCGCTGAGTCTCGGACTCGTTGAGAGGACGGAGAGGACGGGGAGGACGGAGTACCTAAAGCCGTTCTGGCTGGCGTGGCGTCTTTCTTGATCCAGAAGGACACCCAGGAGAGGACCACGGTGAGGATGCAGGGGATGTAGGTCTGGATGGTGAAGTAGCCCATCCTTCGGCTCAGGTCAAAGTACACCGTCATCAACACGTACTCGCCTGTGTGCGAAAGGGACGGCACGAGCCGGCGAGACGAGCCGGCGAGTCATTTAAAGAGAAATCAGTGAGGGTTGAAAAAAGGAAATGGACTCATTATCCTCTCAGGGTCACAGCTGGTTCCTCTGAAGTGGAGAACAGAGAAAGTAGCACAACGGTTTACATGCATGAGGCTGTAAACGTGTTTATTCCTGCTTTAAACGTCATTTTAACATTGAGTTCAATGGGGATTGAGTCACAACAGTCAAAACTCTGGGATTTAGTTACTCTTTAAACTCTCTAAAGATCATCCGACACGTTAAACGCAACTTCATATGAATGTGGAAGACGATATTTATCAGAGGAGGACGAAGTCGTCTTTAGTGCTCATTGCTCATAGAGTCAGAATCAGCATTAGACGGCTATTTTTGTGAGTTGCCAGCTCAGTAACAATGACAATAAACTAGCGAGGACGGGTCAGCGTGTCGGCTTGTTTGTTTATCTTCAATGGACTTCAAGTTCACAGAAACCGAACCCTGTCGACATGCTGGGAGACGTCTTCAACGCTTCAGACTCTCCAACCGGTTCGTCCAGACTTTATTTAAGAAAACGGGCAAAAGACTCTTCGGTCAAGGGGACAACTGTGTGAGAAGTCACGACAATTTCAAGCCAACCGACCTGCCGTAGTCTTTATTATGTCCGTGGTGTTTCTCAGTCCCATGAAATCAAACTGGTAGAGACGCCAGGACTTCTGGTCAGCCGCCTCCACCGAGTTCTTCCGCCACTTGTAAATCAGCTCATCTCGTGGGTATCCATCTGCAATCACACAGAGCATGTGTGTGTGTGTGTGTGTGTGTGTGTGTGTGTGTGCACGTGGTTGCTTACGGGCCAGAACCTAATGATGCTGCTAAAGGCAATGGGGGCCTTCGACACACAGGCAAACGGGCAAGTGGATTAAATGAAAGCTTAAAGCTTATAATAATGTACGGGATCCATCTTGATGTCGGGCCTGACCTTCACGCGGCGCGCGAGGAGCCTGGCAGTGCTTTAACAATCGATCATGGGAGGTTAATGGTGGGTTAATGATTCCAGTTCTGCCGCGCTGTGGCACTAGCCGGATCTTCCCCGTCTTTAACGGATGCATAATTGTTTTAAGAAGGAAAACAGAATTATCGTCTTGCCTGACAGCAGTTTGATGTAACAGGCTTTCAATTAACAAAACCATTAACTGTGGAGGAAGATGCTGCCCGAACGACAGATTGTTTAAACATGAATGGATTCTGCCCCAGTTCTCTCTTTTGTTATTAATGATTCCATCAAACATTCAGGAATACTTATGTAAGGCTTTTAAATAAAACATTGCTAATCGGTCACAATTCATGATGCATTCGTTTTTTTTAACAATATTCTAAGCAGACTAGACTAAATACTCCTTTTTTATGTGTAAACTCGGAGAATGATGATCTTACGTTAACTCCCTTTCCAACTCTGTTTTTGGTCTCCACCGCCTCCCGAAGGCAAACTGGCTTCATTCTGTCCGCCAAGTTGCGGCTGCCGTGTCCGTGTGCCACATGGTGCGTGCACGTGCACGTACACGTGCACATTACGGGTTGTTTTTAACTGCTGGTCATTGTGCAGCACTCAGATATGCACTCGTGCTTCCGTTTACTGTACTTAGCTTCACTGTAAGACGCCCGCTGTCTGAGCTTCTGCTGAGTCTCATTGATCAGATGTTGCCACGGTTACCAACAAAGCAGCGAGCGGCTAAGGATTCGACATGCTGTCCCTGTGACGGCCTGCGAATCAATAGGTTTTGGGGGCAGGTACGACGCGAGGCAGGAGGTATTATGTGGATCTAGTTACCGAGGGGGGAGAAATAATCATCTCTTTGTCATTTCATATGGCCTGGAGTCATGAGCAGCTTATATCGTTATAAAACTATTATTGTATAAGTATTATATATTATATTATATTATATATTTATTATATTATATTAAGAGAAAATGGGCCCCTCGTCTCAAATATGTAAAAGTACCGCCATATTTTTTTTAACATATTAGCAAAACATTCAGACATTTCTTTTGTCTCTTTGTAGTCTTTTTGCATCTGGTAGTGTTTGTTTTTTGTCTCTAAGTCCTTTGGCGCCCACATGGTCACCTTGTAAGGTTTTCTTATTGTTTTGTCATTTTTTTGTGGTTGTTTTCCACCACTTTGTCATCCTTTGTGTTTTTCTCTGGTCCTTTAAGTCTATTTTCTTTTTGTTTTGTAGTCACCTGATTGACTCTTCCTCAAAACACCATTATACTTTATACCTTTATCCTGATTTGGGATCCTGACAGGGCTGTAATTGTACGTGGCAGTAATCCATCCATTATACAATTAAACGTCTCTTTCTGATTGAGGTAGGGGGCATCGGGTGGAGACAATCAAGCTGCAGGGGAGGGTGGGGGCTTATTTTCCCTGCTGGTACATTTGAGGCTTTTAAGCCGTCACAGCGAGCTCTGAGGAGCTGTGGCGTGAAACGTGAATGTCCTCCAGTCCCTCGGCCATGCGGGTCTTCTACCACCACTTTCACGGCTAAAACCAAATCTTGTGTTAATTAATCAAACACTTCTAAAAGTGAAGCTCAACCCGGGACACTAACATCAGCTCACATTCAGCGAGCACTTAGTGCGCAGAAAGAATTAAGAGAACAGCATAATCACCTGAAACAGAGGAAATACGGTACTCCAAAAATAATACCTGTTTCATACTGGGTACTTCTGGACCGACAGAGAAGACGACATTGTACTCACAGCTGGAGAAGATGAGCGGACAGGAGTGTTCGTCCATCGGAAAGTTGTGCAGCTGAAGCTGGCATTCTGCGTTTATTGTGAGTCTGTAGAGAAAACAATAGTAATCAGCAAGTACTTTATTTTATCGATTTAGTGTGACACCAAACCACATCAATACAGTGATGTCGGTTCAGACTTTCAAAGCAAAGTAATTTGTTTTACATCTTCTTTTTTATGTTTTCTAAATGAGACCAGAATATGGAAATGCATCAGTGCAATTTGGAATAGAAAACAATCTCTCAACCTCAAATGGAATAGCTATTGTTTTACAGAAGTCATCCACGTACAGGGTACACAATGACAAACCATCACTTGGACAGCTGGGAGTGCAAACTGTGGGACGTCATTATAGTTAATCACCAAAGTGCAGAGGTGGAGGAAGAATCTGTCCTTCGCAGTGGAATTCCCTACAAACTGCTTCTGGAATTCCCCTCAAGACTTTCTGCAGTCATTAAATGTTAATCGTTGGTGTCCCTCAAGGTTCGGTTCTCGGCCCGCTCCGATTTGACCTTTACAGGCTCCCACTTGCCCGCATCTTTCAGAGAACCAATTGTTATTATAATTATACTGACATACTCTCATCAAATGATTGCTCATGGAGATAGATGAATACCTGGAAGGTTAGAAATGGCTTACATTCAAAGAAAGACAAAAGAGAGATCATCATATTTGGCATATTAGAGGATTTTTTCTCCCCTATAGGAAACAGCACTAAAAGTGGAACTGCAGGTTAACAACCTTAGTGTTTTAATTGGCAACCAACAGCGTTGAGAATGATGGACCCGCTGTGAGACGTCTCTCCAGTTAATCACCGAGCTAAAGTACAAGTCCTACAGGGGCAGAGCGCCAGTCTGCCCTTTACGGCCGGATTCTCTATGAAGTGCTTTTTGAGCTCCGCTCGAGGCCATTTGTAGCCATCACGTGTTAATGGTTTGCTTTTCTGGAACAATTTAAATAATTATCCTGACGATCCCCAGATATACGTAGTTCCCCCATTAAATGATCACGGCCAATAGAGACCGGTAGAGTCTCAAAATGACTTACAATCAAACAAAGACATAACAGGGATCATTATATTTGGCGGCGTAGGGGAGAGCAGGATTGTTTCTCACCTTAAGGGAAAAGCCCTGAAAGTGGAAGGAAGAACTCACGTTCTTCAAGTATCTGCACGGCGAAACACGTCTGCCCTCATATAGTGATTACGATGCAACTTCTTTGGAATCCACAAAGTACAATTATTTTTTGTAATGAATACAGTATAAGGCCAATTATGCAGCAAGTACGTCACTGACCTTCAATTATGAACCGTTTGTTCATAATTGAAGGTAACATTTCTGATCTCAAAGGAAGCCCGAGGGCACAGGAAGCATTAAGAGTTCACTGACCTCTATAAACAGGATGAAATAACACTAATGAGCCTGATGCTTCAATGAAACTGGAAGTGGTGTTTCCAGTACGAACCATCTCACTGAGGAGACACTCAGCCTGGTCAACGTGGGGTTGTGGTGGTTAAATGCTCGCTTGTATTCAATGGTTTTGTTCTCTCGGACACGGAAGCAAAAGATAAAAACAAATGTTTGGATTCAATTATAGACCTAATGTTCCAGAATAGACACATATAACAGGAACTAGCCGGAGATAGACTCCTCTGCAGGTGTGATCTTTAAAACTTAATTAAAGCGTGGAATTCGGACAAAAAATGAATGTTGGAGAGTCACGGATATCACAAAATGTCATCTGTGTTTACTGTGGCCAAGCCAATGGACAATTAATACCACCTGACATTTCATATTCTTCCTCACATGCACATAAGCAGATATTGCTCCTGAACGTTTGCACTCATTTGTCAATATCAGTGGAGCTGCATCAGGAAGAGCGGTGCAGGTTGTTGGCAGATACCGTTCCTCTTCTCTTGTGGAGATGAAAAAAGTTCTGCACAGTTCTGCAGGAATGAGTCCAGAACAACAAACTGGATGTGACCATATTTGGACTGTCTCTGGTAGAAACCTATCAATCATGAGGTAGCCCCGCCCCTAAAGCATGCATTATGGTCTTTTTGGCTCTAAATTGACCATTATTTTTGAATTATTCATGAAATGATTATGCTGTTTTAAAGACTTCAAACCATGAATTAATACATGTTTACAATGTTTACTAAGGGAAGAAATCAAACGAACGAGGCGTTTTCTCATAGACGTCTGCAGGACCAGAGGAGTCGCCCCCTGGTGGACATTAGAGAGAATGCAGCTTTGCTTCACTAGCTAGAGCACGAGGGACCCGTTAGGTTCTACGATAACACTCGTCCTGCTTTGGCTCAGGGTTGAGACGTGAAGTCATGTGACCGTTGTGGAGTTCCTTAATAGCGTGACATAATCTTTATACTTAAAACAACCCAAATAAGGATGTTCATTCGTGAGGATATTTATAGAGATTCTTTTCTGTATGATTTAATCAAAATGGAAGAATCAGTGGATTGAACCAGCGATGGTAAAGTACAGTGTGTGGACGTCTCACAACAGAAGCACAGTGCCATGAAGATTGGGGGAGAAATGTGGAGAAGCTTATTACTGAAGGAGCGTCTTTTATTAATGTCTAGTGGTCTAATTACAAAGAGAGCTCTGGGGCATGAGGGGGGCAGCCGGCAAATTGGTCTGAAAGCTCAAACAGCCTATTTGCACTCACGGTGGTAATGACGGGAGCTAATTGCGTTTGCGCTGCTCTTTCTGGGTAATGTTGGCACCACAAAGAGTTTTCCGTACAGGGCCAAGGAACCAAGGAACCAAGGAACTGCTTGGTTGATTCCAAAAGGAGAAGTTTAAACTGACAGACTTCTTGCAGATGGAGAAGAATTTTTCTGAAAATATGGATCCAGCTATCAAATACAAAGGGAAAATTTGGGTACTACGAGGAAACCAAGAACTCCAGACAGTGAAAGCCTGAAGCTGTGTGTTCCTTTGTTAAGTAGTAAACGGCAAAATAAAGTATTTAAGCATTTTGTTTAAGAAACATAACTCGTGTAAACTAGCAGACCTAAAGAATGTGTCTTTAAGTGACTATTTGGATGGTTAACTGTATATAAATAAATACACACTACGTTTTGTGGCTACATCCTCTGAGATGCTTCTGTCATAAGATCATCAGACATTTCTTTCCACAATTATTCTCAATTTTGATGCGAGTGGTGAAAACAACATATTCTGTCCAGATTTTTTAATTTTCGGATTAAATCATGTCTAATATGGTGTCATTATTCAGGTCTTAGGAGCTTTAAGGAGCTTCACCACGAGTAAAACGCGTTTACCTCAAAGTGTAGAGTATCTTCCCGTCGTTCCATATCCGGAGCAGCTGGTTCGGCGTCGTGATCCAGTGGGAATCTGCGTTCTTGGAGTTTCTGAAGATGGTGTCGGGCAGCCAGATGAGTCCGACCATGTTACTGTTCAGAGTCAATCGCTTCATGGTGCCGTTGTAGCTGAGGCGGCTGTCCGTCCACGTCTGGGCGAAGATGATGTCGATCTGGTATTCCTAACGGACAGACGTGGGAGGAGAGTGATCCTGCTACTCAGGATTAGATGGCTCTTAGTAGAAGCATTACGGCTTTGAGCATCACATCTTTCTTCCTTCGCTTCCCGAGTCGTGAAGTGAAGTTGCTGCTTTAACGACATGTGACGTTGACACAGAGAAAGTCTTTGTTTTTTTTCATTATCCAGAAGTAAAACAAGGTATCAGAAGATCTCTACAAGGAAGCCACTCAAGGTTTTAATTACTCTGCACGAGCAGACGTCCACTGACTGGTCTCCACTTTGTAATCTGACAAAACCAAACAGTTATTAGGCTCCGACAAACACAGAAATATGTCACCGCATAATCAATCAACCAATAATAACTTCCCTCCTTTGGCCCTCAACACCTTTTCGTACTGCTGCCGCCGCCCGAAATGCATTCAACCTTTTCTCCGGTCCGAGCGAAAAACATTATCGAGGATTTAATGACCAATAGGGGGCGACGCGGTGGTGTGGCGTATTAGCACGAAACCCCCCAGCAGTCAAAAAATCGAAATGTCCATCTCTGCTATCTCATAAAGGTTTTCGCCTGCTGAAGGCGTATTGATCTCACTCCGCTCCCTGTGGTCTCAGCTGGGTTCTTCGGCCTTCACAGCGGGCTTCGCTGTAACAGAAAATGGGTCGTTCACCTCGGCGGCCTCGGAGGAGCTGCTATTTTAAGCCTGCTGGTCCGAAGCTGCTGCGTCGCAGTGAAATCAAAGCTGTGCAGTAAGAAAAAAAGATTCTCGCGTGATAAAATGTGCTTCAAACCGAAGTACAGAACAGCGGATCTCCTGAGACGTGAGGACCTGATGGGACGGGCCAGCCAGGAGACGGAGGAATACTCCATCAGTTTGCCTTTTGAAGTTTGAAAAAGAGCCCGCAGAGGTGGATGTGTCAAAAAAACTGTCTCCTCCAAGTGTGGAAAACGAAACGCTGAAACACCAGCAGAGAACCAGGCTTCTCCTCTCTGGGGACCCAGGACGTAGTGCTGGACCCAGGGAGGCCCGGGAGAACCAGACCGGAGGGACTGTGAGAGCCTTCTGCAGTAGAAAGAGGGGTTTTCTAAAGGGACCCTGGCAGGAGACACTTCAGTCCACAGGGACACAAAATAGAAGTTCTTAGTAACTTTGATTGAGAAAACACAGTCTTTTGCAGTTTGTTTGTGGGCTGATGATCTTTTACTGTATTTTCTTGTATTCATGCAGGTTTTTGACATCTGAACATGCAAACGGAAACACTTTTTCAGTGTGCAGTAAAATGCTCCACATACCGTAAACTAGGACAAAGTATCCGTCTCAAGTGTGAAGCCGGCACTCTATGATTATGCAGCAAAACGCATCTGTCCTGTGCCCCGAGACGTCTTGTCATGTCGGGTCTGTCCTCGTGTCCTCATTAGCTGAAGGTTGTTCGGAACGAGGGCGCAAACTTTCCCCGTGCACCTGCTGTGTGCACACTCTTTAAATAACTCAACATGCATACGGTAAGGCCGTGGTTTTCCTTTCTATCTGCTGTATGATCTCCAGATGCACGTTTTAAAGCTGCATTCTCTGCGGTGACCAGCAGGGGGCGACTCCTCTGCTCCCATAGACGTCTATGAGAAAATGACTCTTTTCTCTTGATTTATTCCCTCAATAAACATTGTAAACATGAGTTTATGTTCTCAACCTGTAGTTTCAAGTCTTATTCATGCAGCACGATGTTCATTTAGTAAATTATGGTCCATTAAGAGTCAAATCAGTCCACAAACCAATGGGCGACGTCACAATGCTCACGTCTTATTAAAAGGTTTTTGAGAGACGAGCAGTTACATTCGCTGCTCCTCATCTGCATAAAGTTAAGGTCAAAACTACTTTATGCAAATCAGAGGCTCGAGCGTGACTCGCTGCCTTTGAAAAAGTGCCTAAAGACTTTTAAATTAAAAGTTGTTGATCAAAAATGAAAAGGGAAGCGCCTTGTTTTGAAGCTCGTCAGGCCTCCTGTGTGGACTCACGAGGTAACAAAGCACCAGTTACTGATATTCTATCTATTCTATCTTCATCCAGGATGCAGGTAACAGTCCAAACAACAGCCTCATTCATTCAAGCCTAAACTCATTTCTAAAGAGCGAATGCCAACACATCTGTGTCTATTGAGACAACAGGAAAAAGCCCTAAAATGCAGGATTTTGTAATCGATTCCCATTTCCTGTCGCTCAGGATAACGGCAGTCCAACATCATTCAGACTTAACGCATCTCCGACTGCCTACAACAGGGAAACCTACAGGAAACACATAATGTCACCTACGCGGGTAAAACGGGAAATGTATATTAGCGGGGTTATTACAGGCTGATTGAAACACGACAGAAGGGTAATAATGAATTAATATTGCAACCCTCCTGTTGATGAATTCATTACACGAACCCACCCAAGCAAATAAGGAGGCTAATCTGGTGAAATATTTTCTTTTCTCTTGTATCCGAGACATCAGCTGAAGCAGCTGTACGGCCACAAAAAACGTCTTATAGAGCGAAATGAAAGACATGTGAAACACGTCGAGTCAAACGACGGGCCTGCAGTTGGCGGCACGAAACAAACGGCCGTGAACACATGAACTGGCATGACTGTTGTATTTGGTTGGGGGGGTCGGCGTGAGAGCTCTCCACAGGGGGGCCCGCTGGCACCGGCTCCTGGTCTGCCAGGGACTCCTGGATGACACCCGGTTGCCTTGGACACCGAATGGCCCGGCGGGGATAAATGCGGCGTCTTCACGACGACGCAACCCGAGGCTCCTTCAGCTTCCCTCGTCCGTGGCGCTCCGTCGGGTCCGATGAGGAATTTAGGGAGATTTTTACAAACCGTTGCGGATGTGCGAGCAGCAGGAGGCAGAAAGAGGAACGACGCTGCGAAGGGTTTAGAAATGAAGCAACGTAGACGTAGAAAAAGAACAGTTTAAATCACATTTAAGACTTTACTACACATTGTGTAAATGAGGTTAGCATTAGAGAAGTAGTGTTAGTATTAAAAAGTACTATTAAGTAATGATAGCTTGTTAAGTGACGTGAGAGAACATTAAAAGAGATGAATTAAAGTACAAAGATGATTCGAATTAAATTAATAATACAAGCATTTTAAAACTACATGAATTACGTTGTTGATTTTCTTTTTGTGTGGATGGCTCCCAATTTGATCATTTATTTCTCTCTTTTTGAAGTGACGACATCATATTTTTGTCAGTATTCTTGTGTCTTCTCTGCTCATGCTGCAGCTTGTGCAACATTCAGCTACTAAATAAATTGAAATCCTTGCAGGCTAATTGATTCCCACCGACGGAAGCTTTTCCTGCTGGGACGCGCTGTTGATCAAAGGGCTTTGGACAACACGGAAATGGATATTTCATGGTGATAATAGGAAACGTTGGGCTTGATGAAGGTGCATTGTGTATTGATTTGGGACGCAGCAATAACTTCCCACCTTTGGTCCATTCGGCCACGAATACATCGGACCAACAGCACAAGTCAACTAAGGAAAAGAAGCATTGGTTCACTAATTATGTAATTAATATATGTCTTCTTTCTTTACATGAACTGAAATGATATGGCCTCAAACCGGTTTGAATCCACGTTCTATTTTAAGAGTTTTACATTCACTGTGTTTTTTTAATGCACCACCATCATTAATAAGAGGATTCTACATTCAAAAGGTTTGTAATGAAGGTGGAATAAAGTAATGCATGTTGAACAATGGAGTCCTTCTTAATATGATGAACTTTCGATAGGTGTATTTATTAGAAGTAGTGAAGAAATGAATCACTGACAGCTCTTATCTGGACCTCGTTCTCCATATTAAATAACACATAGTGTGAATCTGGAGAACTTAGAGCTACATACATATAGAGTGATGGAGCGACTCATTGGATGGATTATAGATCCATGAGTGGCACATTTCTCTTGTATTTTTAAGCTGAAACGCCATCACAGAAGTCTGACCTCATTTCTCCTGAGTTCATCCCTGGAGGAGGCGGATTAATCACCGTCTGTCTCCAGGAAAAGTCATGACACCCAGAATTATACACTGCATTGTAATTAGAAACAATACAGGAATGACATCTGATGGCGATTATGAATCCTTCTCTCACAATGGGGCTTAAATGAGCTCGTCACACTGCGGGGGTGTCGAGTGCCTTGCAGCGCCGCCACCGGCTTTCTACTTAACATGATGTTGTACTTTAGTAAGTTGAAATATATCAGTCTAAATAATCTCATCTGAATACCAACACGGAGCACATTACGATTAAGACGACAGGAGAAGGAGGTTGAAATGACAGAGCTGTATTGTTCAATATGTCTTGTTTAAATTCTAAGTCCCACGATTGATTCATCTGAGACCAACAGAGGAGAGGCTGTGAAACTGCGATGAGCTCAGCGTCCGAAATGGGTTATTTGTTTTTTGGGTGGACACTTTCGGCTTATCAGAGCCCCACTGTGGGACCGGAATTTTCCAACCCCTCCGGGCGGAAAGCTGCTCTTGTTGCAACATTACAGGGGAAACCCCCCCGCGCGGGGTCTCCGCACACGGAGAGCGTGGCTCCCCATTTTAATGGGAGAGAGGGGCCTCATTCCTTTTCCAGAACAGCGCCCTTTCAACAGGTCTGCTTTTCTGAGGGGGACCAGAAAAAGCAGAAATTTTTTTTCTCGTGGGGGGGCGTTTCCGGTGTTTATCTCATTTTTTGGGGCCCAACCCCTCCCCCCCTGAAGCGGGGGGGGGGGGGGGGCGCCTCGGGGGGGGAGACGTCGCTGACCGGCGGCAAAAAAACACTAATTGTTTGAGGGCGTCAGGCCGCATTAAGCTCCCCGCTGTCGGCCCGTCGGCGAGGACCAGAGCAGCGGCGGCGGCGGCGCCGGGTGGTCCACCAGGAGCTCAGTCAGCCCGCTAATTAAGACCTGGATGGCACCCGGGGAGCCGGATGGACGCAATTAACTGATAAGCAGAGGAGCTCCGATCGGTAATGGAACCGTTGCAAACGGACCTGAAGCGCTCGAGTGGACCGAGATGGTTTTACATTGTAAACAAAAACATATATACACACATATATGTTTATATATATGTATAATATTACAACACATCACGTGCTTCCAAAATGGAGCTTAAGCTTTTTATCAAAAACATTTGATTGATAAAGAGAAGATTCTTTTGTCTGTTTGACGTCGAGGATCATCGTCACCATCATTTAATTACAAATAATGTTGAAATATGTGCAAAGGTGAAAGGTCACGCAGCATGTTGTGCTGCCTCATTATGGGATAATAAAGAGGGGACGGACCAGAAGGAGAGAGACGAAACATGAAATTGATTTTGCCCCTTTATGTAAAACGTTTTTGCTTGTTTTGATTTGGCGACCAAATATTTACTGAAACGTCGATTTTTCACAACTTCCTGTTTCTAAAGCGTCTAAAAAACGAATCTGTTGTTCTTTGTAAAAATGCTCCAACGTGCAACCGGTGTTTAATCAGTGACCTTCTTCCGACCTTCCCAGGATCCACTACAGGCCGCGAAGCGCTGGTTTTAATGCGAGTCGGGATCGGGATCGTTCCCACGGAGCCACTTGGCAGCTCGCCGCCCCTCGCTCCACGTGAATCACCCGTCATTCATCGTCCCGATTACACAAAGCAATACAAGTTTTCCCTCTGAAGAGAGGAGGAGCAGATTGTAACAAAGGAAGACCGAAAAGTAGTAAGAGAACACGTCTCTCTGGAGACGAGGAGGATGAGGAGGACGAGGAGGACGAGGAGGACGAGGAGGACGTGCCCTCTCGGGGTGGGGATGATGAAGATGTCCTATACATATATATGTACATTATGTAATGTGTGTATATATATATATATTTATATATATATGGCAAAACACGGAGACGCTGTAAAATTGTCATTGTGTGAAACTAGAAAGCGTCCTTGTCAGGACACGTTAGTCCCTCGTTCTTAGACAAAGAGACTAACAGAAGAAAAAGTAAAAAGCGTGAATAATAAATAGTGACAAAGAGTCAACAGTCCTTCAGTCGGCTGTCGTCTCTGAAGTGTTTAACACACGTCCGTCCTCACCGAGGCGACGGAAACATTTCATGAGTCATCGGCCTCGTTCTGCTCCGGAGGATTCACCAAAACAAAGGGGGGGCTTCACATCGGTGATAGACGGCGTAGTTTAACACCGCGGACCCCCTGACACCTCGTCTGATGTGACCCATCAGTGGAACCTGATTAATTAAAAGTCCATGTGATCGATCCATCACTGTCTCCGCTCAGCGACCTCGGCGGCGACGTTACCAACAATAAGGTGGAGCGACTGATCCGTCCGACTAAAAAGGCAAAATCTAACACATTCTGATCAGGCTTCTTTCAGCTAAACCCTTTCGGTGGACTTGACCTCTAGTGAGTCCGCCGGACTCCTGCTGGATTTCACATTGGATACCGGAGTTAGTGAGATTTATGAGAAATTTACAAACTGTATTAAGTCACTAACATTTTGTGCAGCTGCCAGGAAACAGACTGTTTTTAAGAACAAATAAGGTACGGTTGAGGAAAATATTCTTGAAAACACGTTGTCTTCTTATTTCCCATCAA